TTTTGATGTCCTGAGATCGTTTATCGCCACATCCGGCACTCCAGTCCTGCTGGGCGACAGAGCGAGACTCCATCTCAAAAAAATAAGTAAATAGGCCGGACGTAGTGGCTCATGCCTGTAATCCCAGCACTTTGGGAGGCCAAGGCGGGCGGATCATGAGGTCAGGAGTTCGAGATTAGCCTGACCAACATTGTGAAACCCCGTCTCTACTAAAAATACAAAAATTAGCTGGGCAAGGTGGCGTGTACCTGTAATCCTAGCTACTCAGGAGGCTGAGGCAGGAGAATCGTGTGAACCTGGGAGGCAGAGGTTGCAGTGAGCCAAGATCGCGCCACTGCACTCCAGCCTGGGTGACAGAGCTAGACTCCGTCTCAAAAAAAAAAAGTAAATAAAATGAAAGAAAGGGAGAAGGAGAAGGATTAAATTGCAAAGATCCTGGGCTGCCACTTTTCTCCCCTCAAGATGCTCTGAGACTGTTTCTTCAGTGGTAAAATGGTGTATCTGGTAGGCCAGGTGTCAACATACTTTTCCTGCAAAGGATCACACAGTTAACTATTTTAGGCTTTGTAGGCTAGTCTGGCAGAACTACTCAGCTCTGCTCAAAGGTAGCCATAGACAGGACATAAAGAAATGGCCGTCACTGTGTTTTGATAAAACTTTATTTACAAACACATGCTGTGGGCCACATGTGGCCCTCAGGTTGTAGTCTCCTGACCTATGAGTTAGCTAGGTTCAGCTGCTAAAAGAGACCCCACAGCCAGGGAGAAAGGAAATGAAGGCTGGAGAGGGGCTTATTCCTGCCCTTGAAGGCGGAACCCAGAAATGCACACATCAATTCTGCTTGTGTTCCTTTGGCCAGTACTTGGTCACATGTCCATCCTAGCTGCAAGGGATACTGGGAGATGTAGTCTTTGGCTGGGCAGCTATGGTCCTAGCTAAATAGGCTGTTTACTATAAGGAAGTGGAGGGGTTTGTACAACACACTAGCTGTCTTTAACCGCAAATGGGACCCTGATTCTTTCACTGTGTCTCTGCCCCTCAGCCAGTTTCAAGCGGCCGGTGGTGATCCTGGGACCTGTGGCCGACATTGCTATGCAGAAGTTGACTGCTGAGATGCCTGACCAGTTTGAAATCGCGGGTGAGACTCCAGATCCCCTGGAAACCTCGTTGATGAATCGTTTCACGACTTGTTTTTTTGTGGGGGTTGGGTGGAGAGTCAGAATAATGACGGCAAATAAGAAGCAGATGGGCCACCAGTGCCCCCTCCAATACCCAAGCCAGATAGCCTCAATCCGTCTTGGCACCGTTTGTCTGGATAGAACCTCCACATCCTTTTTTTTTTTTTTTTTGAGATGGAGTCTGGCTCTGTGGCCCAGGCTGGAGAGCAGTGGCGCAATCTCGGCTCACTGCAAGCTCCGCCACCCGGGTTCACGCCATTCTCCTGCCTCAGCCTCCTGAGTAGCTGGGACTACAGGTGCCCACCACCACGCCTGGCTAATTTTTTGTATTTTTTAGTAGAGACGGGGTTTCACCGTGTTAGCTAGGATGGTCTCGATCTCCTGACCTCGTGATCCGCTCGCCTAGGCCTCCCAAAGTACTGGGATTACAGGTGTGAGCCACCGCGCCCGGCCTACATCCTTCTTAATACAGTTCACCAGGTAGCCATTGCCAGTTGAGGCAAAGTGCCACCTGTTATTTGTTTAAGAGAAATTTATTGATCTTCTGAGACAGCAGCGAACAGGACAGGCAAGGTCCCTGAAGAAGACTCCAAATTAACAAGTATAAAAACAACTGGCACAGTGGCTCACGCCTGTAATCCCAGCACTTTGGGAGGCCGAGGCGGGCGGATCACGAGGTCAAGAGATTGAGACCATCCTGGCTAACATGGTGAAACCCCGTCTCTCCTAAAAATACAAAAATTAGCTAGGTGTGGCGGCAGGCGCCCATAGTCCCAGCTACTTGGGAGGCTGGGGCAGGAGAATTGCTTGAACCCGTGAGGCAGAGGTTGCAGTGAGCTGAGATCACGCCACTGCACTCCAGCCTGGCGACGGAGTGAGACTTCATCTCAAAAAAAAAAGAAAAGAAAAACAAGATAGACTAGGAGGCTGGGCGCAGTGGTCAGGAATTCAAGACTAGCCTGGCCAACATGGTGAAATCCCGTCTCTATTAAAAACACAAAAAATTAGCTGGATGTGGTGGCACATGCCTGTAATCCCAGCTACTCAGGAAGCTGAGGCAGGAGAATTGCTTGAACCCGAGAGGCGGAGGGTGCAGTGAGCAGAGATCACACCACTGCACTCCAGCCTGGGTGACAGAGGGAGACTGTGTCTCAAAACAAAACACAAAAAATAGTGAAGATTGCAATTTTTGGCTGGGTGTGGTGGCTCACATTTAACTCAACACTTTGGGAGACCAAGGTGTGAGGATGACTTGAGCCTAGGAGTTTGAGACCAGCCTGGGCAACAGAGCAAAATCACGTTTCTATAAAAGAAAAAAGATTTTTTTAATTAAAAAAGATGCAAATTTTACGGGTTTTTTTTTTTTTTTTGAGTCGGAGTCTTGCTCTGTTGCCCAGGCTGGAGTGCAGTGGCAGTATCTTGGCTTACTGCAACCTCCGCTCCTAGGTTCAAGTGATCCCCCTGCCTCAGCCCCCCAGTAGCTGGAATTACAGGCACGTGCCACCATGCCTGGCTAATTTTTGTATTTTTAATAGAGATGGGATTTTGCTGTTTGGCCAGGCTGGTCTTGAACTTTTGACCTCAGGTGATCCACCCGCCTTGGCCTCCCAAAGTGGTGGGATTACAGGCTTGAGCCACTGCACCCTGACGATTTTACGTCTTTAACCAAAACAAAAAGAGGGGATGAGGTCATGTCTCCCTCCTTGAACCCCTCCATGCCAGGCTGTGTCTCCTTCCTGAAACTTTGCACAATCCAGGAGGGCTTCCTGGAGGAAGCAGTGCTCCTCTCAGATCCTAGAAGACAGATATCGGCAAGAGTGGAGCTTCCTGTGGGGTTGTAGCCTGAGCAGAACCCTGGAGTTGGGACTGAGTTTGGGAGAGCCAGGGGTTGCAGCTCAGGCTCAGTGTCTGGCCTCTGACTCTGCGACCCTGAGCAAGTAGCCTTTTGTCTCTGAGTCTCAGTTTCCCCACCTGCCACATGGGCCAATACCAGCCACCCACTCCTCAGGAGGACGTGAGAGCTTGAGGTCAGGAGGGGATGTGAGTGCAGTGCCTGGCACTTGGCCAACAGGAGTTGCTGCTGCTGTTAGGATTTCTCTCCAGGGCAATGGGGAGCCTGGTGGCTTCTTGAGCAGGGGAGGGGCAGGTAGGTGTGAATTTGAGGGGCCGGGGGCTGCCCTCCTGAAGCTGGTGGTCCTGTCTCCCCTCCACAGAGACTGTGTCCAGGACGGACAGCCCCTCCAAGATCATCAAACTGGAGACTGTGCGGCTGATTGCAGAAAAAGTAAGCCGGGTCCTGCTACGGGTCCCATTTCATGGATGGGGGAAACTGAGGCCTGGGCGTTCAACTGAATGTTCTGACCTGTTCTCAGCCCACACCCCACAAGTGCAGTCTCCCATGGAGCCCCTTTCGGAGGCTTTGTGAGGCAGGAGGCCCGAGAGAGATAAGGGCTTCCCGGAGTCAAACAGCACTCAGCCCTGGGCACAGGCAGAGAAAGTTGGGGCTTTGATGCCCAAGATGCTGTGGCCTGGGCTATTACCACCACCATCCCCACCATGCTAGCCTGTGGATGTCAGAGACTGGGGTCCACTCTGACCTCAGACTCTTCATCTTTCCATCTTTCTCTCTGTCTGCCAAGATGCTGTGCCCTAGGCTATTACCACCACCATCCCCACCATGCTAGCCTGTGGACGTGAGAGACTGGGGTCCACTCTGACCTCAGACTCTTCATCTTTCCATCTTTCTCTCTGTCTGCCAAGATGCTGTGCCCTGAGCTATTATTACCCTCATCCCCAACATGCTAGCCTGTGGATGTGAGAGGCTGGGGTCCACTCTGACCTCAGAGTCTTCATCTTTCCATCTTTCTCTCTGTCTGCCAAGATGCTCGTGCCCTGGCTAATTACCACCCCCATCCCCAACATGCCAGCCTGTGGATGTGAGAGGCTGGGGTCCACTCTGACCTCAGAGTCTTCCTCTTTCCATCTTTCTCTGTTTACCCTGCTGCAATCCCCCTCTCCCCAACCTCCGCGGGCCTGGCCCAGGACAAGCACGCGCTCCTGGATGTGACCCCCTCCGCCATCGAGCGCCTCAACTATGTGCAGTACTACCCCATCGTGGTCTTCTTCATGCCCGAGAGCCGGCCGGCCCTCAAGGCGCTGCGCCAGTGGCTGGCGCCTGCCTCCCGCCGCAGCACCCGCCGCCTCTACGCACAAGCCCAGAAGCTGCGGAAACACAGCAGCCACCTCTTCACAGGTGTGGGGCTGGGTGTCCCAGGGTAGGCGGGTGGGCCCCAGCCTGAGTCTCCTGCGCATACTAATGTCTCCTCCTGCAGCCACCATCCCTCTGAATGGCACGAGTGACACCTGGTACCAGGAGCTCAAGGCCGTCATTCGAGAGCAGCAGACGCGGCCCATCTGGACAGCGGAAGATCAGGTACTGCCGTGGTGAGGGTGGGTCGGGGACAGGGGCGCCCCACAGACCCTGTGCAGGCCCAGCTGGGGTTTGGGGCCTCTGTCGGGAGTTAGGTTTTGCTCAGGGGTCAGGATTCTGGCCAGAGTCAAGTTGGGACCTGAGACAAGGGTGTCGGACTGGAACTTGGATGAGATGAGATTGGAGGAGCTGTTTTTTGTGGTTGTTTGATTTGAGATGGAGTCTCACTATGTCACCCAGGCTGGAGTGCAGTGGTGTGGTCTCAGCTTGCTGCAACCTCTGCCTCCCGGGTTCAAGTGATTCTCCAGCCTCAGCCTCCCGAGTAGCTGGGACTACAGACGAGCGCCACCACGCCCAGCTAATTTTTGTATTTTTAGCAGAGACAAGGTTTCACCATGTTGGCCAGGCTGGTCTCGAACTCCTGACCTCAGGTGATCCACCCGCCTCAGCCTCCCAAAGTGCTGGGATGACAGGCCTGAATCACTGCGCCCGGCCTGGAGGAGCTGTTTTGAGAGAGAGATGAGTCTTCTCTTGGTGCTGGAGTCAAGGTTTAGGACTCAGCTTGGATTTGGGGGCTGAGCCTCTCAGGTGAAGGGTCAATGAATACAATTAATCCTGGAGTCAACAGTGAAGCCTGTACTGAGGCTAGAGGCTCCAGGACTGTCTCGATTTGGGACTGGAGTTTGAAGGTGGGAGGTGTCGTGGGTGGCGGCTGGGGTCCTGGCCGGGGCTAGCCGCAGCATCCACACCCACCCCACAGCTGGAAGGCTCCTTGGAGGACAACCTAGACCTCCCCCACCGCGGCCTGGCCGACAGCTCCGCTGACCTCAGCTGCGACAGCCGTGTTAACAGCGACTACGAGACTGACGACGGCGAGGGCCTACACGGACAGGCGAGGGGGGCCCTACCACAGATGTGAATGATGAGCCCCCGGCTCCCAGCCCTGGCCCGGTCCTCGGAGCCTTGTGCAGGCCAATGAAGCCCTCAAGAGCCCAGGGGATCTGGGGAGAATCCTTGGCCCATCAGGGGGGCCCAGGTGGCCGTGGCATGGGGCAGTCCCTGGGAAAAGGTCTCCTGCAAGGGATGCTGGCACAGAGCAACACAACAAGGGAGCCTGTTTCTACAGAACCGCCAACAAACCGCTTCCCTGGTCAGAAACGGTTCCGGAACCCTCAGACCTGGGTACCTTAAGAGCCAGTGCACTGAAGCAACTGCCAGCCAATTTTTTTTTTCCTTTTTTTTGGAGACGAGTTCCCCCTTTTGTTGCCCAGGCTGAGTGGCGATGGCCCACTCAAGCTCACCGCAAACCTCTGCCTCCCGCTTCAAGTGATTCCATGCCTCGGCTCCTGATACTGGGAACAGGCACCGCACCCAACCATGCCTGCTAATTTGGTATTTAGTAGAGACAGGGGTTTCTCCTGTTTGGTCAAGTTGGTCTCAAGCTCCCAACCCCAGGTGACCGCCCGCCCCAGCCCCCCCAAAATGCTGGAAATTAAGGCGTGAACCACTGCACCCGGTCTAATTTTTTTTTATTTTTGATTAAGAGTTCGCTCTGCCGCCCAAGCGGAGTGCCAGTTGCAATGATCTCGCTCACGCCAACTCGGCTCCTGTGTTCCAACAATTTCTCCCTGCCCAACTCCGGGATTACAGGCGAGCACACCCATGCCCAGCGTATTTTTTATATATAACAACCTCCTTAAGGTATCTTAATAAGACAGGGTTTCACCATGTTGGCCCACAGGCTAGTCCCTCCAATTCCTGACCTCAGTGATCCCACCTGGCCCTCTCAAGTGTTGGATTACAGCGGAACCACCGCACCCTGGCCTCCAGCCCAACATTTAACTCTCTCTGCACTGTTCCTCATCCTAGGCACAGGGTGGATGGTAAAAATCAGACTTGGTGCAGGCAGTGCGAGCACCTCAACGACTCATTTCTCCTAACTTTCTGTAATTTGATATACATGAGATTTCCTCCAAATAATTTTGCTTTCCAAGATTCCTTGGCCTTCTCCTTCTTCTAAACATTTGATCCCTTTTACTAGGGACTCATCCCATAGTCACTGCTGTGCCTTTGTCATACTAAAAGAAGCTAACAACCCACCATAAGTCTCAAATCATTTCTCTCTCCCTGACCATTGCTTTTATTCTAGCTATTTCCAGCTCATTTCTCCTAATTATTTCCCCAAACATCGGGACTCCACCCAAATTGAGTCCACCACCTTTAACTGTAACTCCTTTTCCACATATCTTCTCCTTCTCCCTTTACAAAGTTTAAATTTATGACACCCATTAAATAATCTTTATCCACCCTCAAAACTTTTTTGCCCTGTTCTTGTCATTAAACTAATCGCAAAATCACACTCGAGTAAATAGAGCTGTTCACTCTGGTCAGATGCACCCTGCCGCGAGTAATCTGAAAGAAAATATAACCACTGTCGAACCATTTTCCCTGCTAAGTACCCTGACGTGGACCTTAATGGCCATAGATGCTTCCAGCAAATACAGGTGGTTCACTCTCCCCCATCCCTAACATAATAATCATTACACCTTTTCTCTCCTCTTCATTAAACCCCTAAAATCTCCTATTCCTGGATTCTTATTTACCTAATTTCTGCTTTATGAAAAAATTTGGCCAACCAGAAAATACTTTTACTAGAAAATTCTTCCACATCCGTTATCCTCTGTAATAATCTGTATCCTTACTGCTGTTGTCCCAATCCTGTTAACTAAAGACAAGTTTTTCAAAATTAGCCAGGCATCCAAACACCTGGAGGACTCCAACAAGAAAACATAGATACTGGGCACATTAAGAGGCCTGCTGATAGTAGATTGGGGCCCAGGCCTAAGGATGTCCATTTCAAAGTCCCAGATGAAATGCGATTTCAAACAGGTAAACTACACTTGCGAACCATGGAAAAAGAACAGTTTTTCCACCTAAAAGCTTAATCACCCTCACTTGGGACACTATATCATCCCACTATACATTCTTAAAACCTCCACCTAGTTAATTATCCTTTTCTGCATTATTAACTTTCCATTCTCTACTGGATCATCCTAGTGGATATTAATTGTTGAAATACTTTTCCCCTTTCGTTTAGAAGATTAATCTTTTTGCCCCACTAACTTCAGTTCCCACTATATGACTTGTTTGGCCAATAAAGTGGAGCGATTTTACGGGCTCAAACCATTCTAAGCAAAAGTGTTAACTCATTATTTGGTTCTGCCACGTCTCTCTTCCTCTCCATGATGAAGTAATAGCAAGATGAGACTGCTCTTTCCAACCGATTCCCAGAGTAAGGCAAATAGACAGAGAGTAGTTAAGTCATGATGAACACATAGCAAATGAAACAAGAAATAACCATTTGAGCAAGTCACTAAAATTTCAGGTACTTATTCCCATAATATATTTATCTAACTGAATATAACAGTAAATTAACATATAACTTTCTGTTATCTTTTTAAAAAACCTCTTTGATCTATTCTCTACAGTCCAACCCATTTCCTCAAATTCAAACTCCAGTCACTCAACAAAAAAAAAAAAAAAAAAAAAAAACCTGCATATTCCTGTCGTCCTTCCTCACATTCACAACCAACCACCGAGATATCCTGGTTTGCCCTTTCACCTTCCCAAAAACAAATACATTTAGAATTGAACCACTCCGCTCATTGTCTCAAAATACCTTATCCCTGTAGCAACAGCATGTCTACCTGGATACTGCATATCCTTAACTATTCCTCGCTGCTTCCCAACTCATTATAGTTCTCAGCCAGCAGCCTAGTTGACGTCCTTTTGATCATCAGTTCCTTTTCCCAAAAGCTTTCCAGTACTAGACCATCCAAATCAAGTAAAAGCCAAAATTTGCTTAGAAAGTGGTCTGATAGTTGGATTCCTGGTCCCACCATATGTCATGTTGAATTGTAATCCCCA